AGTGAGTGTGCGTGTGAGTGCGTGAGTGAGAGTGAGTGAGTGAGTGTGCGTGTGTGTATGTATGTGTGTGTGAGAGTAGCAGCTTAATAGATCAGTGAAAGAACCTCTGAAATCCTTTGACTCGTAACACTGTCGATCAGCATTACATGGCCATCCTCAGGCTGAACAACGCAACAACACCAGGCCGCTGCCAACAGAGTGTCTCCATGTGTTCAATATTTACAGTCATCATAATTATATTCATTATATGGCCCAGAATCTACCACACCTACATTTACGGTCAGGAGCCACTACTGGAAACAATATGAACGGACTAGTCCAGAGCTAACTAGTCTCACACAGTCCTACACAAAATGTGAGCTAATCCACAGAGGAATGAACGGCTTAAAGGGAAAAATGGTTCAGCAGAAACGCAGAATGGAAAAAACTCCAATGTCTCCAGTTCAAAAGTTAAAGACATTTAAAGGGGTGGTTGACTGGGTTTTTTCTAGGCTTGGTTGTGTTTATGGGGTGCAGTCTAACATGTGTTTATGCTTTGTTTTTTAAAAAACGCATTATTTTTCAAATAATTTACCTTTATTCCACACCGATCTGTCCCTTCTCTGACAAACGACTCGATTATTTCCTGTTTTTATGAAGCCCCTCCCTCAGAAATACGCGATGGGCTGAGATTGGTCAGCTGGCTCAGTGTGTTGTGATTGGCTAAACCGCCTCTACAGCGCGTCTGAACATCCCGCCCCTCAAGCTCAGAATGTGCTCCGGTTGTATTGTGACACTAACTAACGTTAAAAAAGTGAAATCGCAATCAACCACCGCTTTAATGCTGATGACAAACAACAATCTGATGCTGTTCTTCTATCCAGGTGATCTGAACTGTGCTGCAATTACATGGTATCACACAAAATGCACTCGGTGTGCAGAAACACCTGACAGAACAATGTTTTTGTGTCGCCTCATCTTCACACAGATCTGCGTGCATGTGCAGCACTTAAACGTCTGCAAGCAGCATTCGCGTCAGGTTTGTGTCACAGCTGCTCTCCACTAACAGCTTCATTTCTGATGTCTCTGTGATGCTGAATTCAGCAGTGCGTGCAGCTCTTTACTCACAGGAGTGTTTGCAATGCTAAAATATTACTATTATTGTTGTTATCCATGAATTTTCAAATTTACTATTTTACAAGAAAGGCAGAAAAATAGTAAAGCACTTTATTCTTTTTTTATTCAGATGCCCAATTACAGTCAATACAGTCTAATAAATTTGTTAAACACTATCAGCTTAAATGTATTAGAGCACCTGTCATAATAAAGAGAAAACAAGTACTTTAGGAATCTGTCAAAAAGTTTGTTTTTTAGTAGGCAAACAACAAACTGAAACAACTAAATAGTCTTTTCTCACACATAACCAAATAATGTAATATTTTGTATGGTCTCGATAACAGCTGTGACACAAAGCTGGCGCTGATGCTGCAGCAGAGAAAGCATAAAAACCCCCTGAAAGCAGCAGGAGCATGATGCAGATGAACCCTGGTTTACCTCCGGCACTTCAGCATCGTGGTCGGGCGACTCTCCTCCATCATCGCTGGTCTTCCTCTTGCGCTTGTTGCGAACACTTTGGATGAAGTTCTTGTGGAAATCACAGATGTACAAATGCCGAACCTGTGGGCAAAAAATGCCTCTTTAATGCGTGTTAGAAAACAGAATACTAGATTAAAGAACGCAGAACCCATTACTATATCAAGGAAATAACATCTGATGCTTTCAGTGCGATTTATATGCAATAAAATGACATTTACCAAACTAAAAACAAGCACATTGTGGCCAGATGCACCACTGATCCGTGTGTAAGTGTATATTCATGTTTGCATGCACAGATATTCACTACAACACAGTCAAACAGACACAACGCCTTCGCTGTCAGGACAAAAACAATCAGACAAAACATCATGCAAACACTGCCAGAATTAAAGAGCTGCTCAGAAGACGCGCAGGTTTGACTGGCAGCGCCTCAGACGCTTCAGACACACGCTTTTAGGCCCCGTTTCGCAGCCCTCGGGGCTCGGCAACGACTCTTACGCTCTTGTCGATGTCCAGCTTGAGCTTCCTCTGGCTGATGCTCTTCTGGATGCGCTTGCTGAAGGACGCGTTCCCCGCCGCGCGGCCGCAACGCTCCCCGTCCTCGATCAGACAGCAGCTCTGGCCGAAGAAGGGCGGCGCGGGCGGCGCGTCGTGGCTGTCCTCTTCCGTGCTGAACCCGTTCATAACGGGCACTTCCAGGGAGAGGCGGTCGAGTTTAACGCAGCTGAGACACAAACTCGATGCGTTCTGAAGAGCCGCGGATGAACGAACGGCTCGCCGAGCGAAGCGACCAGAACGAGAATCTCCGCGACGCTTCGGATCCGGTTCGCTGAAGACTTCACTGGAGCAGCCGAACTGTCAGAACCGACCTTGTCCGCGCCGAAACTGCAGATTTGACGCGCTACAAACTACGAGGCCATTTCAACAATATACACACAATGACACAAGTCTTGCCAGAAACCGGAAGTTGTAGCTCTGAAAGACCATTGGTTGGTTTCCGAACAAGGCGGGCCTCCGAGGCTGCGTCTTCGATTTCTGTTGGTCAGCGCGCGCGTCAATCAAACGCCACTTCCTGACTATCGATGTCATGCAACGGCTCACTGGAGCACTCACTCACTCACTCACACACTCACCTTCATGAGGCTTCAGCTACTCAATCTCATGTTCAGTTTATCGATGCGAAAATTGCGTGTAAAACACAAAGCTCAGTTTATTATAATGATAACGGGACGCTGTGTTCTTTATAGTGTCCAGCATCTAAAACTGGACATCTGATAGTCACTGCTCCAGAGCACATGCAGCGATTAAATAGCGAAATAAAGTTGCTTTAAAGGGGAGGAGAACGTGCTTTCGTCTTTTGTTGTCCTGCTGGAGCAAAAACACTCCAGAAGTGCTTTCCTCTGGGTGAAATGAGTTATTTGCATTGATGTTAAGCAGTTGAAAACTCATGGCTGATGTGTCATAAGTGGGTTCTGAGGGTCTTTATTTAACACGAGTCTACATGCCGCAGTAAAGATAGTTTGCGGTTTGATATTAAGATTTCTTTTGGCTATAAATACGCAGTGCGCTGTCATCAGGGTGTTTTTCGTAGCGACTCTTGACTGTATAATGCCTATAGCTCCAAAAGTTGGACACTTAGAGGAATGAGACGGTCATCTTCACCAGCTTGAGCTGTGAATTTCTCCACAGTAAACCCCTTGGTAAGTCCTCTATAAGGAATGTGAAAGAAAGGCGTTCTTCATGTTTAACGTCTGTTACCGATAAACACGCAGACTGCTGGAAGACAACAACATTGTTTTAGGTCGAGCTCGATTTGTGAAAACTTCCACAATCTCATTTTATCGCGTGGCAGTGTTTATCTTTGCTCTGACAGCGTCACCTGAATTCACAAATCATGGAGAATGATATTCGGTATTATTTGCACGTCTACGACAGCACACTGCGTATTTATAGCCAACAGAAATCTGAATATCAAACCGCAAACTATCTTTACTGCGGTGTCGGAGTTCACATTCCCTGCACACGAACAGCTGCTGCAGACCTGAACAATCATTCACACAAAACTAATGCATGATTTCAGAACTTCAGAAAACACTGTTCCAGCAAAAACATGCGACTACTTCACTGCAGAACCTCCATTTCAACATTTTCCTAAAGAGGCTATGAAAACTCGATTTGAATTCAGGCAAATTATGCAAGTAAATACAAACCATTCAAAATAAGACCAGGACAGTTTCACAGTAGTATTTGTACTAAAGGAGAAAAAGATTTAATGGCTTTTCTATGACGGCATAATTTTGCAATAATTCAGACTTGAAATGACAAAACATTATTGATACAAATGAAGAGAAAAATAACAGAACTGAACCCACTACACAGTTATCTGTGCATGAATAATAATAATTTATGAGCCGTTTAAATGGTGGCAGAACCGTTTTAATGCATCAGTGACAAACCTGTGTAAAATTACTACTGTTCCCAAGATTCAACCCAAGACTTATTACCATATCATCATATTCCACACACAACTCTGGAAACTCATCAAGGCAGGAGTTTTACACAATAACAAACCAACAGCTGGTTCTTAAACATTTCAGTTCAAAAGCGAGTCCAGTATTAAACTCTATAATTATTCACATGTGCATCTGACACACTGGTCCACCAGACACAATAGCAATAATTCATTATGAAACCCAGGGCTCTCTTTAGAATCGACAGAAATTACAAACTCGTTAATACTCAAAAACAGGCTCTGGACAAAGAAATGTCTGAAAGTGCTGGACAGATCAACTTTAAAACGGCTTCGGATCAAAGAAACATTTGAAAGTGCTTGGCAGATAATCTGTAAAAATATTTAATGGTAAAAACGGGTCAAACGCTCAACAACATTGAATGTAGAGAACTAGACTAGTGTGCTGTGCGTCACACCAGCATCTTTCAGCAAGGCACGTCGACTGGATTCAAGTTTCACACTGTGTTGCTCATGTGCATTAGAAACAGCATCATGCAGGATCCGTCTTTGGGTGCCAGCAGTTACTGAGAACCAGTGGATCTCAGCTGGTTATATCAGAGACAGACGGGGGAGAAACAAACAGCAGAAAATGCAGCTGACCAAATAATCTAGTAAAATACAGTCCGGTCGTTCCACGGTCTTCTGCTGTGCAGGAGTGATTCTTAACTGCATTGTTGTTTACGGTACAAAATCATGGAAACAGGACTGACTATTTGAGATTTCCCCGATGGACAAACCTGACAAAATATAACCGCTTCTGAATGCTTTGAGCTAACAGGGTCGACACGTAACCGCCTTGAAGCCTTTGTAATAAAACATTATGTCCTCTAAAATTAAAAAAACATAACTATATTTGTTAACACAACAAAGAGAAGCTGGATAATAAAATCAAGTTTTAAACACAGTGCTCAGTAAAGGCTGCTGTCGGTGTTTCATCGTTCACGATGAGCCCAGTGTTTCTGGGGACTGACTCAGAACAGTCAAATAAATAAACCTCTCAATCTTTACAAAGGACAGCATCAGATTCGCATTTCTGAAGGACAAACTGTGACGTGTTTGCAAGGCAGCCGACAGTCTGAGGCTCTGACTCTGTGTAAAGACTCGTCTGTTAACCGCACACAAGAATCAGAGACGGGAGGATGATGACTGAACAGATGCACAATCCAATCACTCAGTATGCAAATGAGTGACGACATCACTGTCTTTGAGACGTTCCTCAGACGCACCGAAGCAGACGAAGAGCATCAGTCAAACGCTGCCCTGCAAACACTCTTACTGATCATTTTCAGGTCAACGGGGTGAAAGTCAGCAGAAGTGATGAAGATGATGATGGGAGTGTGGAGAGAAGCACAGAGCTTCAGCTTTTACAGAGGTTTGGAGTCAGACGATCAGAACAGAGTTTCATTGGTTCAGTAAAGGCACAGGAACGTCTCTCTTCGGAGAGCAGCGGCACATCGTGATCACGAAGCTCTCGCCGGCATCAGCTGCCCGGTGGATTCTCATGTTCATATTGGCAGCATTACTCGTTGTGATTGCTGTTGAAGGAGTCTAAGACCGTGGCGTTGGTGTTCTGGAAGAGCCACCGCTGGCTGAGAGTCGAGGGATCGCAGGAGTTCATGAAGATCCGCTTCTGTGCAGCATCAGAGTCAACACAGCTGTTACTGATGGGGTGATAGAGGCTCTTATCCTGCCACACACACACACACACACACACACACACACACACACACACACACACACACACACACACACACACACACACA